GAACTAGTTGATAAGGAAATATTATTGGTGAATATTGCCTCCAGGCGAGAAAGCGGACATGCTGTCTTTCCCATCCGCCATTTTTGTTATCGTTACCGCAAAATTTTGCAAATTGCCTTGACGTAATCGTCATGCTATAACACCGTGTTAATGGATTTAATTAAAAGCACCCTGTGTTGCCTTCAATCTTAACTTTACTGTGCCCACTATTCTCTCTCTTTGGCTTTACAGTTTTTTGACAATTGTCTCGGACTCCTCGATGAATAGTTCATGTCAGGTAGCACACTGGGAATAATTATAACATGTTGTTTACGTTCAGAAATATGAAAATAAACCCACGTCCTCCATTTGTAAATTAACTGTATCCTTTACCCCCTTTTAAACGTGGTCACGTGGTAGGGTAGTGTGAAAGCTGAGCATCCTATTGCACAAAAATCGTGGATAAGGACTATATAGATATTCGAGGTGACTTCAAAATAAAAACATCACATGACAGGTTTACTATGAAAATAACATTGTATTCGCAATTGCAATCAACGGCTAGCGGCTACCGGATAGACCTACTCTTTTATTACCAACTCATTTAAATATGAACGGAATAGTGGCATGTACTATTAATTTTTTATAATAATTAGAGCCGGTGTAAAATGAATCATGGTTCCTAGTGTAGGTGGTCCTAGTCGGACCATATTTCAACCTTTTGTTTGACCACAATACTTAGGGGAAATGTACCTTAAATACTATACCCTCTGGTCCAAAAAAACTGTGCGTCGTCGTGCAATGCTCATATTTTTTGATATTGGAAAGCATACAATTTCATAGTTTTGGGGGTTGATGCCCTATATGTATCGACGATGTGTATAAAAGTTGGAAAAGATATATGGAATATCGAAAACACTAAAGATCAGTAACCATAATGACCTCGCAAATCATTGCTGCGAATTATTTGTAACTCTTCAAAGTGTCTGAGGACAGAATTATTTTCATTACCTCAAAATGATCAGTCTGGGCAGAAATGAGTAAAGAATTAGTTCTCAATGGGAGTTGAGGCAAGTACTATTTATATTTAAATGATTTGCCCATGAAATAGTAGGCTAATCCGGTAGCTGGTAGCCGCCATATGCATTCGCGAATACACTCTATAATTTTAGTTGAATCCTCATCCAAAACATTGATAAAGCAATTAGTTGTCACAGTGGATAAAGCGAATCGAGAAGAGATAACTACTACGATTGAAACCAGTGCTATTGGACACGGAACAGCCTGTAGGGTAGGTGGAATTTGTATAGAGATCACGACCGCATCCCCTATGACACCCCCCCCCCCAAAAAAAAAAGTTTGGAAATTCTTTTTGGAAAGTTTTATTCTAATTTTTTCCATTGACTCATACACATGTCCAGAAAGCACCAAATAACATTTTAAAATTGTAAAACTTTCTCGGGGAGTGGGCCACCCCACAAAACAATTGAAAAGTTATGATTTACTTTTATGTAATGTCTCAGACACTTTTAAAATGCCCAGACATCATCAAATAGCTCATTGATATAGTTAATGTATCTTGGGGACTTACACTTGCTCCCCCTCTGGCATCCTCACCCCGCCTCCCCCTCGGTCACCCTCACCCCGCCTCCCCCTCGGTCACCCCCCCCCCCCCTTGGACACAACCAAACCCCCTCCCCCCCAAAAAAATAGAAAATATGATACTCATACACTTTCAAAGTGCCCAGAAAGCACAGAATAGCTTCTTAAAATTGTAAAATTTTGCAAAGAAGTAGGCCACCCCTCACATCCCCAACAAAACAATTGACAAAAATTCTGAATTTATTTCATGTATTGTCTCAGACACATTTTAGGTGCCCAGACTTCATCAAATAGCACCTTTATATAGTAAATGTTTCTAGGAACAGATACGGGAGACAAACACTTGCTCCCCCCCCCCCTCTGGCACCCCAACCCTCCCCCTTGGCACCCCCCCCCCCTTTGAAACCCCTATAACATGTTACATCAATAATGCAAAACTGCTATTTTTATCGCTAATGCAGAACATCTCATGTGATGACAAGGCGAAAGATAATTTCATAAATGATGATATTTAAGATCAGTTCCTCATTGAGTGTGCTACATCTCTCTATCATTTAGACAGTTACTTTAAAGTAAGCAATCCAGGATCCTTGTATTTACATAAAATTGCACTGTGAGAAATCACATGTCGATAATCATGATATTGTCAATGAACTCAAACACTGTTTTTTGTAAATATGATCCTCTGTAGTTGAGTTTTTGTATATTAAGAGATTTAATTTTATATGTTTGCTCTCCTTTGTGGAGGAATATACAATACAATACAATACAATATAATACAATACAATACAATACAATACAATATGATACAATACATGCATCCTCGCTTTAATACTCCATTCATATGTAAGTTGATTAACAGTTTTCGGAGTTAAACTCATTAATTTTCATTAACAGGGTGACAGTGGTGGACCGTTAGTTTGCAAGGACGCCGACAGCAATAGGTCTGTTGTCATAGGAATAATGAGTTACGTCGAAGATGGTTCTTGCCTTAAGGACACTAAGGGGTCTACGTTTCACACTGAAGTGTCACACCTTATACCCTGGATATCAGATAAAATGACAGGTAAATATTATTTGAGACACGCCATATTATAGATTATAGGCCTAGTCGCATATCAGTCAAGCCAAGTAAGTAAGTCAACATTCGAAAATAAAAATCTCAAAAATCGTACATCTTTGATTTCCAAAATAATTTGTGAGATGGTTATTTAGATGATAATACATATTTAAACGCACTAATTTTGAGTACATCTCGAATCCATTCTCAACAAAGCGTTCTCGAAATAAGTATTCGAAATGTTTGAGTTTGGGATGATAAAAGTGCGTTAAGATATACCGCTCCTTAACAAACTTCTTTAGGAACAAGATCTAGAATCAAATGCATATTCTTCCTATTTATTCCTTGACACATGCCAATGAATGTTGCATAAGTAAATAACTCCGTTTTAAAATTTTTTGAAAACGTTGTTCTCTACAGGTGCCATTTTTTATAATTGAAAAACAAAATTGAACAATTTGCATTTCTAAATTGATAAGTTTCTTGGAATACAACTTAACTGTAAACGATTTAAGTCATTAATAATATTTCCCTTAGTGAACCCATGCTGAATAGACAGTAACTGGGTCAATGTTTTGTGTTCAACCTTGTTTTCATGACTTTAAAACATGAGTCGACGATTATGTAGGAAATTGCATTTTCAAATGTAAGCGTGTCAACTCCTGTTTTGCACAATATTTAGCCCTTTATAATGATAGATCGCCAAAATATGCATGTACCTCTCAATAAGGCGATATATTTTTCAATTTATAGATGTAAACTATAAACTCAAACAAAAATTCAAATCACGCGCTCTATTATTTTGATTACACAAGACGAAATTTCCACTCCCGGGGAGCACTTTGGTATCACTTTGAAGGAATTTTCTTGAAAAATCGTTCGAATTTTCACAAAAGGTTTCACGTAATTTTATTGCTTTGTTTAAGCCTCGACTTATATTATACTCAAATCCGATACCATAATTATGAATCAAAATGAAACATTCAATTCACCAAGTTCAATAATAAACCGTTTCGAGAATTGATGATTTGAGTTAATTGTGAATATTTATATAAATGTAAGTTGGCATGTATTCGACAGTTAATGTACACACATGATGTGTGCATCAACGTGTGACTTAAATATCAATTCGTGACTATCACATTTGGCTTCCAAAAATTAAGTTGGAAATTACAGTGGTAGGAGATTAACGAAAACGTCAATCACATCCAAATATCCGTACGACGTCAAGTATTTACAAAACACTTTTCGTGCATCTCGAACATGGCAAGGTTCTGTTATCCAGCAGTGTGCATTTCGAAAGAAAAAATTCACAAATATCAACAAATTTCATTGAGTAGGATATTACATTCGAAATCACAACGTTCAAATTATTTTTTTAACCAAGAATTGTAAGAACTTGAAACATGTTGTGAGTTTTTCAAATGGCATATCCTCATTCACGTTCTTTGACAAGGATGAATCCATTTGAAAACATGGATTTTCTTGATTATTCTTCAAAACTTCCCTTGAAATATAAGTATGTAGGATATTACAGTGTAAATTGTCACGCATTTGTTTGCTCGATATCCTGAACAAATAAATGCAGTACCGTCTTGCAATATTTGAAAACCGAAAGTTCATTCTGTATGTAAACAAGAAAAAATACATTTATGGTTGGTTCATAATGAAAAATGACGAATAACATATATCTTTTGAAGTAGGGGTATACAGGGACACAGTGGAAAATCAGAAATTTAGGTCATATCCCAAAGATTGCTTCACCAATATGTAACAGAACATCAAAATTATCATTTACACGTTTGCTGATAGGTTTATTAAAAATAATTAACCAGAGGTTTACTTCAATTGTGGCACCA